GGTTTATCTAGCATGAATGTGCAGAACACTCATATGCACAGGGACGGAAAGGAGATTAGTGGTTTTGGAGCTGGTAGGAGAGGTGGTATACATGTTTTTGTAATCCATCCAGCATGGTAAAAATGTTGTGGAACTGGAAAGTGTTAGTATTTGCAGATTTCTGTGAGTGTACTAAAAAATTCACTGAATAGTAGACTTTRACTGAGTGACAATTATGGTGTATATATTTGTCAATAAAACTGCTTTTTAATAAGAATTTTGGAAAGCCTGTTTGAAAGAAAAGAAATGAGGCTCTCATATACTATACACATACTATAACTATATAAAAAATTGCACCAAATCTTGGGTGGGGGCCTCAAGAAATGAAATCATGATCAGCATTGGCAACAGTACATGGAAAAGGTTAGGGAACATGATTTATGAGAAATAATTGGGAGCACGTGATTTCTAACATTGAACATGAAAATGATCCTGTGCTATATGATAGGAAGAGCGAGGGAGAGGGACTTGTCTGAGAGGCTGGGCCAGGGGCTCTGTCTTGAGTTTACCTATACACAGAGAGCATAACCTATATGTACTACCAGTGTTTACAGACACCAAGTTCTCTAAAGACCTTAATTTAGATGTTGCAGTATACTCTTTGAAATCGTATGTGGTCAGGTGTATAACAAAAATTTAGACATGTCTTCCCTGTAGGTTGCTCTAAGAAATAAATGTTAGTCTATAAATAAAACCCAGAAAATTGTAACTGGATTTTGAAGGGAACGTACTGGAAGTGAATTATTTTGCTATTGTATGATGTGCTCTATTTTCTTGGATTTCTTTTTTAAAATTGATTTTTAAAAAAACAAATGATGGTGGAATGCATTACAATTCTTATTTCTTATATACAGCACAATTTTTCATATCTCTGGTTGTATATAAAATATGTTGACACCAATTTGTGTCTTCATACATGTACTTTGGATAATGATGTCCATCACATTCCACCATCCTTGCTAATCCCCTGCCCCCTTTCTTTCCCTCCCTCCCCTCTTCCCTATCTAGAATTCATCTATTCCTCCCATGCTCCCTCTCCCTACTCCACTATGAGTCAGCCTCCTTATATCAGAGAAAACATTCAGCATTTGCTTTTTTGGGGATTGGATAACTTCACTTAGCATTATCTTCTCCAATGCCATCCAGTTACCTGCAAATGCCATGATTTTAATCTCTTTTATTGCTGAGTAAAATTGCATTGTGTATATATGCCACATTTTTAATCCATTCATCCACTGAAGGGCATCTAAGTTGGTTCCACAGTTTAGCTATTGTGAATTGTGCTGCTATAAACATAGATGTGGCTATGTACCTGTAGTATGCTGTTTTTAAGTCTTTGGGGTATGAACCGAGGGGAGGGATAGCTGGGTCAAATAGTGGTTCCATTCCCAGTTTTCTGTTTTCTTGGATTTCAAAACTATAAAATCTGGGACAGAAGGCATTTGACAGAGTACTTGTTTTTTTGCTTTCAGAATTGATATGTATACAGAAGGTATGGCAGATTTGAATGAAATGATTATTTATTACCCATCCTTTGCACCTGGAGACAAAGATGGAAGACTTACCCAAATCAAAGAGAAAGCGAGAAACCGTTATTTTCCTGCCTTTGAGAAGGTAAGTGGAAGCTGTTTTACTTTCAGGGCACCTTCTAAACTGAAGGCTGATGGGATGAAGCTGGGGCAGCCCAGAGCCCTTCTCAACTATACTGTCACCAAATACAACCTCTATGGAAAGGACATAAAGAAAAGAACACGGTTTCATGTATTCTTACATCAACATGGGAAGGATTTAGGCTATAGCTTTCTCTTTATCTGAGAAAGGCTTGCCTATTGATGGGACAATCCAGTGGAAACAAGGGAAGAGTCACATAGAACAGGATGCAGCACATCGATAGAGTTTAAAGGGTGTCTCAGAGTTTGGAGAGTATTTTAGTCCTAACAKGTTATCTTAGCACTTAGGAATGCTATGTGAACAATGCCATAGACTGGAAGGTTAAACATTATACATATWTCTCATAGTTCTGGAGGCTCAGAAATTACAGATCAAGGACCTGATGGATTGGTGTCAAGCAAGCCTTGCTTCTTGGTCCATGAATGGCTGACTTTGTGCTGTGTTCTCCTATGACAGATGGGTCTAAGGTCTCATTATATGTGCAGTAGTGCCATTCCTGAGAACTCTTCCCACAGGACCTAATTATGTCCCAAAGGCCCCACCTAACAACATTGGGATCACAACTTATGAGTTTGGGGGACACAGMTATTCTTTCCATAACAGAAGCAGGAGAAAAACAGTATCCGGGATTCCTTGAACACTGACCTTCACTTCCAGARGGCCTTCTTGCATACCGATTTAGTACTCTGGCACTCAGGCATTGTATGAAGATAGACTGGGAGAAAGGCTTCCACTAGTGATACCAAGTTCAAAGTTTTAATTACTKGGAATCAAACTAGAATTCTCTATGTACAGAATTCATAGTACAGAATTAGGCCTTGGGCAGTGGGGAGTTTTGAATACACTGGAGGTAAAACTAAAAGAGTGCTTTAAATTATAGCATAAATTTGATGTTGTGTTTTGTTCATGTACCAAGCAATTGTTCACACTTCTCTATGTATACTTAATCTGTTCTGTAGAATGAAAAGAATCTTGCTATGCAAGGACATTTAAAGTGGATGCTACTCTAAGAAGTATATTTAGCTTGTATCATAAGTGAAACCAAGGACCCGGCTTTCTCCTCCCAGCCCCTATTCCATTTGGGTTCTAACCATGACTTCCTTGGGAATCCCCTCATCCCATGTATGCCCTTGTCTTTCCAGGTTGAYGAAATATTTTGTTTAATTAGTTGTGCCATGTGGTTTTTCTTTATGCTTCCTCATTTCAATTTTGCTGAGATGTTTGAACAAATTTCACATATTACTCCAAAATTTCTTTTGTGAAAATGTTAATACATTCATAGAAATTAAAAGAAAGTTTAAAGAACCCATAAATACACACCTCTGAGATAGCAGAATTTATATCTTATGATGTCCACTTTATCATGTGCCCATCTCTCCACTCCTATCTTGCTGGTCAAACATATTGCTTTTCCCATGCATTTCATACTAAGATGCAGATGTCAGTGCAGTTCACGCCTAGATAATGCAGCATGCAGATTGCAACGTAGTGCTCAAAGCCAATGTCACAAAAGATATGGTGATTGAAGTTTGTTTTAGATCCTACACACATAACCAGCAAATTAAGAAATCAGACAAGAGGAAAAACAGATACTGAATTGATATACTCATAGGGGAAAGTGCTTATTTAAGTGGAGACACTGGGGCTGSGGGTTGTAACTCAGTGGAAGTCCATTTGACTAGCATGTATGAGGCACTGGGATGGATTCTCAGAACCACATATGAATACATACAAAATAAAGGTCCATCAACAACTAAAAAATTTTATTTATTTTAAAAAGTGG